ACCAAACTCATGGCATTCACAATGGGAGACAATATGCGGAATCCTTTGCTTCTGAGTATTCAACCCAAGGAAATTTAGAATACCATGCTAGTTGAAAGCCACGAGGATGTTCAACATCACCACTTCTAGGAAAATTAGGAAGTTCAACTTGTAGGGGGGCGTAGCTCAAGTAAGCTCTCCTTATCTCATCACGTTTGTCAGGAGGAAATGTCCACATCGGCTTACGTAATCCAGGATCTCGTTCAATAGAGGCGAACGATGGATTAGTCACTCTAGGAGAAATGACAGAACTCTCTAAAATCACATTTGGCACAACAGTAGAGTGCTCCTCAATCTCAAAGTTCAATGCTCTCGGAACTACTTGTACTTCATCTTCTAAATGATCATCACTTCGCGGCAAAACATTTATGGTAAAGAATGAATCCAGCTTCTTTTGTTTTCTCTTCATGGTAACTATAAGAAGAGAGCATATGAGTTATTAACATAACAAGAACAATAAAAAGATAAAAACAGAACCAATCAAACAGAACCAGCTTAAGGTTGATTCCCCCTACCACCATCTCTCACGTCGCCCAATCCCCACTAATTCATCATTCTTCCCACTAATTTAAGTTTTTAGCAGCTAGAGTTTCCAAGAGACACGTCATCTATATATGCTACGGGGAAACAACATCCATATACTTTCGACAAAACCCTAACCAGGAATCCCATCAAATTTCAATTGAGATTGGAATTACTCATTCTCGAAGCAACGCTGTATGCAGGAGATTTGTGATGTCGCCGACCACAGATGGGAAGGAGATTGAAAAGAGATTAAGAAAATAAACTTACTACGCTGTACGGTGGAAATCCGGGATGAAGAATGAAGTTTGGAGACAAATGGGTTGTTCTGTCTTGTTGCCGCCTAGAGGTTCTTAATTGGTCGAAGCCGATGGAGATGAGATGGAGAATTGAGAGGGGTGGACTGTGGAGATGTCGCACGGTGGACGGAGAGGAAGAGATTGATGATGAACGAGAAGAGGGAGGGTGGTTGGTCGTGCCCTTTCAGCTTTTTGGAGTGCTGAAGGCTCTGTTTCTAATTTTGGGATTGTGAATTACAAAGGGGTTGCTCGACAGTAAGGGTCCAAGGGAGTAAAAGAAAAGATAAAAATTGAAAGGGCAAAAAAGAAACAATTACTTCTTCAAGTTTCAAACTAGTGACATCCTCTTTCGAATCGTGAGCTTCTTCCGCCAGGCTATAATTAAATGTTACGTTATTGAATTGCATATACCTAGTTTTATACATTAATCTTTAAATTCCCGGGGGGGCCATGGCCCCCCCCGGCCTCTACACTGGCTTCGCCCCTGCATGCGACGTTTCCCACTGAGACTCGTCGATTCAAGCCATGTTGGTGTGTATTTTTGCTTTGTAGCTACAAGTGGTATGAATGGTTATATTATCTTTTAACATTTCGGTAAATGTGGTCTATGAACAGGGGATTGATGGGATACTGTTCTTGGAGAAGGAAGCGAAATAGAGGTTGTAGAAGCTAGCCGGTCTAGTCAAGTCTTGAAGAAGGCCAGTAGTGGTAATTAGTTGATTTTAATTTCAATCCAGAAGTTACTCTGTTCTCAGCTTGCATAATCATTCGCCATTGTTGTTAATCTTTGTTATGGCATAGTAATTCAGAGGCTTAAGGATCAGAGTAATTAGTGTGGAAAAAAGAGTGGTGTCACTGGAGAGCAGGAAGGGTTCTGGTTTAGGTACATTTCTTTTTTGATGACTTGGTTTAACATTTAACAAAACTGTTGCTTGTACAACAACCCTTCTGACACGCCAAAACACAACACCAAACTGCGACCAAGTGCAGTAACAGGCAAGTTCAATTATCAACCCGGGGTCTAGATCTACTGCTTACTCCGTGATGATTTATTATCTAGCTAACTAATTCGAGTGATTGTTGTTTAAAGCAAAAGCAGTAAGAAAGCAAGTAATGATTCGGTTTTCAAAGTCAGGAAAGAGTCACTCGGGATTGAGTCCCCCTAGCCCCTTAGTTAGGTTCAATTGTAATTCCCCTGGGTTGATTCACTGTTGATTAGACTGCGGAAGTTCCGACAGTAGCTTGGAATCTCTTAAGCTGACCAAGCCCTCTTAGTCTATCTACCCGGCAGACGACTAGTCTTCACCGGGATAGAAAGCTGAGGCTATGAACACAGAACTCCACTACTGGAATTGAATTCCAGTACAAAGCAGTAAACTGGCTAACTCTCGTATAACCAATCTCCTACTATCGAATGAAGAGGCTCTAACAACCTAATCAGATTCTATCTATCTCAGGTTGCAGCAGAAATCGAGAAAAGCTGATCAGACTTCAATCAATTCAATAAACATGCATCATTCGATTAAAATCAAACAGTATAATTATCCCAAGTCATTACAATCAAATCCCTAACACAAGGAACTAGGGTTCTTCATACCCAAGTGAGAGAAGGGTTCTACTCCATAGAGAGAGAAGAGAAAACAGTAATCGGATTAGTCATACTCATAATGATGAGGAAAATCTGCTCCGGGATGATGATTTCCACTCCTATGACGATCTCCAGGCTCGATTCGATGAAACCAGCTCCAAGATAGATTCTAGGATGTGTTCTTCGTACTTTCTCTCTCTAGGGCTCTGTTTTTTGCTCTGAAAATCCGTTTCTCTCCATTTTGGCTCACACGGGCAGGTCACACGGCCGTGTGGCTCACCCAAGTGGCCGTGTGAGTCAAAACGCAGCGTATCACTTAAGTTGGCCTTCAGCCATCTCACACGGCCAGAGTTGCTCGGCCGTGTGAGTTTCCTGGGTTGCCCGTGTTTGGCCTCGGCAAAAATCACACGGCTACCTTGCTCACTTGCACGGCCGTGTGATGCCCCGGTCTGCCCGTGCGGCTTCCTTGACACCTCGCCACGCGTCCGATCTTCGTCCAATCGACCCCAGATTCGCTCCCAAGCCTCCATTCACGTACTAGGACCTGAAATATCACAAACAAGCACAACCTAGCGTGAAATCGGCCTAAAACACGAGAATCAACACCTCAAACGGTGTAAGAACGGGGGTAAAAACATGTGTAAATAACGGTCTATCACCTTCCTCTGAATTCCTCGTGACTTCATTCCAATTTTCTCATGTGTTAGAAGAAGAAAAGAGTTGTGCTAGATAGAAGTGAATTTGTGCTTGTAGTGTGCGCTGAGGAGAAGCAGGATTTGGAGCAAGCTCAATCGTGTTCAGGCCTTGTAAGAGGTCATTTTGGTATTTGTGATGTTTGGATTATTGAATTTGTATCAATTATCTGCCTATGATTTAAATTTGTTATTACTCTCTTTGTTGGATTAGGAAGAGCTGGAATGTACTTTCTTATTGAGCTATACAAACCTGTGGTCTTGGGATTGAGACTTTGATGAAAATAATGTGATTTTTCATGTATTACTCATCTAATTCATCAAAATTCTAATGCAATGTTCTTAAATTTAGTAAGATATGAGTTTTATGTTAAACGTTTTATTTCACTCTAACCTCTTTGAACTCGAAGCTAGATGTAACAATAGCTGTGGAGGGCTCTAGCTGATTGTGGCATTTTGCAGGACTAATTCCTTGCATAATCTTGCTTATAGGACTATTTCTCGTCCAGAATCTTCTAGATGGCTGGTACCCAAAATTATATTACTATTATCTAAAAAATGTTAGGAATTACGACAGCTAATTTGCATTTTGTTAACGTTGTATGTTGTTTTGTATCTATCCTGCAGGCAAAAAGAGGTCATGAAAAAGAGTTCGAAGTTGCATTGCAAAAAATACATTGAAACACTCAACTGGATTCCAAAGTAAAGTTGCTGGCCTTGTTCAACAGAAGATACTATGATCAGTCATTGTGGGTTCTCTCATTTTTCTGCTATTCATTTACAGGGATGCATTCTGCTTTCTCTTAGCTTTATTTTTTTGGTATGATTTTATCTTGACTTAGCCAGATCTGTGGTCTAATAGATATCTCTCTATGTAGAACTTGAAGGAAAGAATCGCCTGCCTTGAAGCTGCAAATGAGGATCTTTGTCTAGATCTTCATGTATCTAACATCTAATACAAGGTACATGTTTGTGAACCCCGTGTAAATTGGATGTTTGGGGGACTTATTACTAGTGACTAGTGAGTAAGCAAATTGGATGTGGTTTATTTGTATATATATTATATATGACAGTTAAAGAGGTGAGTTGTTATATGGTTGTGATTGGATAATGAAAAAAAAGTGAACAGTTGGTTGGGGATAGTAATGATGGATTGCATAACTCGAGGGCCTTCTTTCTTCTTTGATAAAGATTTATGATTTTTGTCTGACATTTGTTGAGTGTGATGGGGCTATAGAACGCATAATGGTGCTAGATAATCCAGCTAGAAATAGTGACTAGTGCTTTGATCTAAAAGATACAAAAGTCCATTTTGTTTGTGATGCTCCTTTAATAAATTTATCACATAGAATTGCAGAGTGCTCTTGTAATGTATTGTATTCAGTTTCAGGTTGACAAGTTCATGCTTGGGTATGTAATTATTAAGAATCCTTGAAGCCAATGACAGTTTCAACTTTCAACAGACCAACATCTCCGTCGGAGAAAGCGGCGATCGTCTCACCCGTGCCGCCAAGGTTTTCTTTCTCTCTGCCACTTTTCGCTTGCTCTAAAATCTTCGTAGTTTCCTATTCTGTTCCTGTGCTTAATATTTATGTATTCACTGGTTGTACACTTGTACTCGCAGGTGCTGGAGAAACTCAGCGGCCAAAACCCACTCTACTCCAAAGGTATGGTTGAAATTACGATTTTGATAGCAATATGATTAGGAGTTTCTTCTTGGGTTGTATTTGTTGTGGAGGGGGTTTTAATTGGAGGTAGAATGAATTGGGGTTTTTTGCAACTAGGTATACCGTTAGGTAGTTTGGTATCAGGCATAGTCAGAAAATCGCTTGTTATGTGACCGTGAGAGGTGACAAGGCAATGCAGCTGTTGGAGAGTGATCTGAAGGTGAAGGAGTATGAGCTCCTGAGGAGGAACTTCAGCGATACCAGATGCTTTGGTTTCGGTATCCAGGAGCATATTGATCTCGGCATCAAGTGAGTATCTTATCTTCAAATCTTGCTTTGCCTGTATCTCCACCGTTGTCTTAGAACAATTAAGGGTTGTGAATGTTTACATAGAGAATCACACAAGATATAATGCATTGTTATTGAGTAGGTTTGATGAAGCAAATGTTAAGTTTGTAGACAAGTAGTAGGTTGTCAGGAGTTCGGTGTTGGGTTATGAAACTGCTTTGGGCTGTTACTAACCCACTTCTGAAATTGTATGATATAATTGGTATGTTGAAATTGTCATTGGCTTCTGAAATTTCTCTTGTTATTCTGGGTCAGAATCGATTGTTGGTGTGATCTCTTTCTCTGTTTCAGGCTAGCTTTAGCCAATCAGAGGCAAAGCTTATATTGCATAGCTGCAATGTTAGGTGGTTCTTTGGTACTGTGACTTCAGTTTTCTTCTGCGAGTTTTTCTCCCACTTAGTTTCTTGTTTAGTGCTATTTTCCTTCTCCATGAGACCACTTTTGTTTGTTTTTTTATGGTTTTGTAACAGGTTAATATGGGTTTCAAAGCAAAGCAGTGGATGATGTGGCTGATTCAGAAGACATCAGAGATTGATATTGTGGATCTTGCTAAAAATTGTCTTAGTTCAAGCTTGGCATTCTTCCATTAATTGTGATTTGTTGGTTGGTGAGTTTCTTTTTGTTTGAATTTCTTTTGATAATATGTGTACTGAGTGAAGTTACAGTTTGTGGCGTGGATAGTGATTTATGGGCAACCTAATGTGAACTAACAGGTAGCAGAGTTGTATAATATATGAGAAAATTGAAAACGCAAATCTACCTTTGTTGGTTTTTGGGACGCTTTTATCTAGTATAGTCATTAAATCTATTTCCAGGGGTTTGGGAGTGCGGTTAGATGTTGGATAAAAATGGACAGTACCAGGGGTTCTAACCCTCGACATAGGAACTGTAAACGCTGCGAAGTTTCTTCTCCGGCGGAACAAAAACACCCAATCGCGGCCATTATATTCGCAGCAATCGCCACCGCAAGGGACATTCACCAGCGGTTCGGGAGACCGCTGGCATAATATTGCGGCAGTTCTCTTTGCGTCGGTTATGCTACGGTTACAAGAACCGCTGGCGGGATGATTAGCACCGCTGTTTTCCGTCGCTAAATGCCAAATAATCCCCTGTTGTAGTTGGTTTATTTTGTAGTGTTTTTGTGTGTGACAACATTTTGTGGTCACTCTTTAAGTCATTTCGGTAGATGATGTCGACACTTGGAGGATCTCATGATGACATGAGCACATGAAGAAACCAAGCTCTGAACTAAAGTTGGTGTTCAGGTTATATTGATGGTCGGATAGTGATAGAGATTGAATCGACCATGAGTCAGAATTTGGAACGACCATTTCTGCTAACCGTGTGGAAATCGATTTTTTTTTATTTTAAAGTTGATATATACTTGATTTTTAATTAGATGTTGTTTAAGTAATTCGAGTTTGGACTTCCAATTGAAAATTAGTGTATCACTGGACCACGACCTTGTTCGTGAAAGAAAAGGAGTTTTATGTGGTCACTGTTAGCAATATGTGTTGTTTTGTGGTTAGAGGTTTAACCACAACTGAACTAGTGACAACCGTTTAACTAACCGAATAAGTGTTCACTGCCCAACGTCTGAGAGCTTCGGTCCCCAAAAAATAGAAGTCCGATCTTTTATTCCCACCCGGCCATCCCTAGATTTTGAAGCCTAAACAAAACACGAGCATCTAAAAAAACCTCATTCCTTCTCATGTTCTTTGTTCACAATTCGTATCATCAACTCAGTTTCAATTTGTAATGTGGTTAACTGCGATTAATCATTAATCACAAACCATTTTGATCCGATTGCGCTAAGGAATATAACTTAGTTTTGATTGCAGCTAACCACAACTGCACCGTTTCTCTGCCGTACTTGAGCCGGAGCTAACTACATAAACTCAATATTTTCCATTACATAAAATGTTCAAAAGACTCGAATGGTGCATTATCAATACAATATTCAAGCGTAACCTTTAGCTTATTTGTTTTAAATATATGTTAGTTTATGAAAGACTAATGTCCAGGATGTCGAACTTATTATGTCAACATTTCAATCAATAGTACATGATCTCCAAGGTCACACATGTGTGATTTAATAAATAAATTTAATGCAATCTCCTTTCATTTATGTATGATAATAATTTTTTTTTATGAATGGTTGGGTTTTTCATTTCATCAAAAATGGCAAACAACTTTGCTGGTAACAAACTCTAGCCAGCTGAGCAATGAACCTTTGAACAAGGAGTTCACATTAAATCCAATAAAACAGACTAGCCAACTAGCCAAATCAAGCCATAAAACTAGAAAAACCTATCAAGTATCACAGGATCCAGAAACAGCCTCAAATCCCCTTTTATAGAACGAGTCAGCTCCTCCATATCAAACACCTTACCTCCAAACTTTATTCTGCATCTCTCCCTCCAGATACTTGCTACAAGGCTCTGCCAAATCACTTTACCCACCTGAGCAATATCATTCTTCCTTGTGAGATACTGGGATGCCCACTGAAGTTCAGATATCCACTAATCACCAGGAGATCGAGCAGAGTACTTTGCAAACAGCGCTGCAAAAAGCTGTTTAAAGACAAGACACTCTGCAAACATATGTGACCTTGTTTCCAGGGAAGCGTTACAGAAAACACATTGGTGATTTCCTGCAGCCCCCCACCCTTGAGCCTTGTCCCCTGTCATGATGTAATCATTCACTATGAGCCATACCAAAAACTGGTTTCTGGGGATAGTTGTTCCTTTCCAAACCAGAGAGTACCAAGAGACAATATTAGCTTTAGGCCTAAGCTCCTCCCAGACTTTCTTTATTTGAAATTTTTCCATAAGTTCTCCTTTCCAGTAAACTCCATTAGCCCCAGCCACCAGATAGTTACTCAACCAATCTCTATATTTCAGCATTTTCAACCACAACCAGGACCCTGCTTGTGAAGTGACAGTCCAAAAATCACATCTCTTGATTCTATACTCCCAAACCCAGGCCACCCACAATGACCCCTGCTTCAACAGAATGGCCCAGACATGCCTTGCAACACAAGCCAGATTCCAAGATACCATGTCTCTAAGGCCTAGTCCACCTTCCTTCTTAGGATAGGTAACCCTTGGCCAAGCTACCACAACCCTTTTCCTAGATCCATCCCCCACACCCCACAAAAAGTCACTACACAGCTTCTCTATTGCTCTGATAACTGACTTAGGAAGGATAAAAGACTGACATCCAGAATTGTGTTAGGCTATATAACACTGATATGACCAACTGATACTTCCCTGCATAAGACAATTCTTTTGCTTTCCAGCTAGATATTTTCCTTGTCACCCTATCAATCAGAGGGGTACAAGCTTTAATGGTGAGCTTACCTGTCAATAGAGGGAGACCCAAATATCTAACTGGAAGAACTCCCAGTTTATACCCTGAATAGTTAGCCATAGCCTCCTGCCATTCCCCACTAATGCCACCACAATATAGCTCACTTTTTGCTGGATTGGATTTCAGTCCTGTCATTCTTCTGAACTCAGCTAGAACTTTTTTAATGCACTGGATCCCATAGTTAGATCCATTAGAGAATAACAAAAGATCATCAGCAAACATAAGGTGGGTTAATCCCAGCCTCTTACACTGGGGATGAAAAGGCATCTCATTTCTCCTAACTGCTTCATTCATTAAACAAGATAGTACTTCCATAGCCACAGCAAACAGATATGGGGAGAGAGGATCTCCCTGCCTCAGCCCTTTCCTAGCAGAGAAATAACCCACTGAACCCCCATTAAACCCAATGCTCAGCTTGGGGGTGGTTACACACATTCTCAACCATTGCAAAAACCTATCAGGTATCCCCATAGCTTGCAAAGTATTAAAAAGGAAATTCCAATCAACCGAGTCAAAGGCCTTCATCAGGTCGACCTTCACTAAGGACCTAGGGGAAATGTTCTTTCTTCCATATTTCTGAACCAATTCATGTGCAAGTAGAATATTCTCCCCTATTATCATACCCTTAACAAATGTAGTTTGAGATTCACTAATTATGCAGGGCATAACAGAACTGAGCCTCACAGCATGTATTTTGGCCATACACTTATATAGGATATTACAACAAGAAATTGGCCTAAAGAATTTCATCTCTTCTGGTGACTGGATCTTAGGGATAAGGGCTAAAAGAGTTGCATTAACACTTAAAGGAATCTCAGAAACTCTAAAACAGTAAAGGATGGCAGATGTTACCTCCCCACCAATGACATTCCATGCTACTTTAAAGAAACAAGCAGGAAACCCATCTGGCCAAGGGGCCTTCTCCCCATCAAACCCAAACAAGGTAGCTTTGACTTCCTCAGCTGTTACAGGGGAGCACAACTCATCACATTGCTCAGGAAGTAGTTTTTTAAGAAGGATATTCTTGATTTGATCCACCTCTAGAGGAGCAACTTCTGGATCACATTCCCCCAGCAAATTCCTATAAAATCTCTCTGCTATCCCAGCCATACCATCTGTGTCTGTAACCCTCTGCCCATCTTCATTGATTAAGGATCTTATCATATTCCTTTTTTGGTGACTTTTTACTGAGTTATGGAAGTAAGGAGTATTCGAATCCCCCTCTTTGAGCCAAATTTCCCTAGATTTTTGGCGAAAAAATGACTCTTCTGCTTCACTAAGCACCCTGACCTCTTTAGCAATTCTAATCTTGATGAGGACATCAACACAAAGGCGATCACAAGTCCAACTTTGGTGCAAGAGGAACGTGGTCCAATCACTAGAAGTCAAGCCAAGGCATTCAAAGGTCGACTTCAAGCTTATTTGGCAGAGCATTTTCCATCTTTGGAGTCGGATTCGTTCATAGGCCAGGAGGTCAATGTCATCCACGTCCAAGATGAGAAAGAAGGACATTCTTGATGCCCAAGTTGGCCAAACATGGAAAGGCAAAGGAATGGGGAGAAAGAAGGACATTCTTTATGCCCAAGTTTGCCA